TCTCTCTCTCTCTCTCTCTCTCTCTCAAGTGGGCTCCTCGTGGTCCAGAGGTACGGCGTTCTCCACTCTTTCCATAAGCCTAGGGATCGAAACCTGATAGCGACGAACAATAAAATGTTCTCCTTTCAAAATTCCTTTCCTACTCTCTAGTCACTCTGTGTCATCTGTTTTCATCTTGGGGACATGGGACGACAAAGTTCTTCCATGCAATGTATTTGCTCTGTAGGCCCTTCTATACAATAAGGCCTCGTTCGAAGATTTCAACAGGCAGTATAAGAAATAATATCGTTAGCGTCTGCTTATCGCTTACTGCTCGCGCCAGCTTCATTCGAATGCGTCCTCTACTCTGTGTATCGCTACCTCTGAATTACTTAAGTTCTATCGGACAATTTTTGACCAATTTGAGTTACTTAGACCCTGAGTCAGAAACCAAATTCTCTGTCTGCTTTATCAAAACCGTAACATTAATCTAGGTCGTCATCAAAACATTAAAAGAATTGCACTCGAAAAAGCTTGACATGCTGTGAAACTCCTAATCTTGTACACCAAATTTCTCAAAACTCGTTACTGAGCAGATTGAACTTTGTCATCCTAGGGTACGGTCGCGATATTGTGCAGAAAACTCCATTTCCTCTCCACGCTTAATAACAGCAACAGAGGATGAACAAGTACAAGCAAAGTAAGGCAGCGTTAATGTTTCTCTCCGCCTGACTCAATGACCCTGAGATGATCTAACGTGTTGGCCTGAGTTGACCACTGGTCACCACTCTACATGTGTGTGATGGAGGGCCGTCTGCCCGGATGTATGACACAATCCCTCCATCACTTAACAGTGTAGAAATGTTGGCAATCTTCCAGATGCGGACCTTTTTATTTACATTTACTAGATTCTGGTAATAGGGTACGGGCGACGGTTAAGCTAAGACTACTAAGAGTGGGGTTTAGTTAGGATTTGTTTTAGGTTCTTCTACATAAGATTTAGGGTTCTATTGGGGTTACCCTAAACCTTCATCTAGCCATGCCCCTACTAATTAAACCATTACCCAACCCTAACCGTTACCGTATTACCCAAATTCAGCTGTGAATAAAAGAATTAGGAAGACTACAGTGGAATTACGACGATAGTCACAAACTGAAAATCGTGAACGCTTGTTGACTCATAACTGTATTTCTGTTCAGCTGTTGGTTGATTATTGTTGTTAGTTTTCCCATTCAACAACACTTCACAATAAACCACCAGTCAATCAAATATGAAGTTATGAGTCTATAAGATTTTAAAATTGACACCCTCGCAACTTCTAGTTTATGACTATGGTTCTTGTCCCCCTGTGCTGTTCATAATATAATATTGGTCCTATTGCCGTGTTTAGATTAGAGCTGGGCAATGAGTCGCTTTAGCGAAATCCGGATAATATGTTAGTCCACCTCTTCAGCAAATAATATGTTAAGAACCGCTTCGACAAATATGGATTAGAACCACTTCAACAAACGGGTTAGCATCACTTCAACAAGTGGGGGCACACACTTCGGCAAGCGGGTTAGGAAAGGGAGTTAAGAGTCTGAATTCGGACAATGTTTCATTGAAAATTATCCGGTTATCCAGATAGATTATCCGGATTTTGCCCACCTCTAGTGTGGTAGTTGTTTCTCCGCTGAATTATTAACCGGAAAGATTAGCAGTGGGTTGGGGAAACCGAAATCTTTTTAAAGGATCGGAATAAAAGGTATTACGATCGTTATTTCGTAAAATTGAATACAAATCGTGAC